TCAAGGCCAACCTGGGAAATTTGGTGAGACCATGTCTCAAAATTTAAAAAAAATAATAATAAAAAGGACTGGGCATGTGGGCTGGGGCTGTGGCTCAGTGGTAGAGCATTCACCTAGCATGTGTGAGACACTGGATTCAATCCTCAGCACTACATAGAAAAAAAATAATAAAATATTGTCCCCACCTATAACTAAAAAATAAATATATATTTTTAAATAGGACTGGGGATATAGCTCTTACCCATGTAATCTCTTTGCCCTTGCCTGCTTGCTCCTCCACTTTCTACCATGAGACCCTCACCTGGGTTCAGTCCCCAGTACCCCAAAAAAAAAAGGAAGCCATTTAAATGTCTATCAACTGATGAATTGATTAATATCCAAACAATAGAATATCACTCAGCCATAAAAAGAATTATAATAGTTTTTTGGTTATTATATGAATGAAACACCTGAGGCTGGGTAACTTTATAAAGAAAATTGATTTATTTAACTCAGTTCTAGAGGCTGTAAATTGAAATAGTATGACACTAGCTCTAGTAAAGGCCATCTTTCTGACAGAGTCCTGAGGTGTTATAAGCCCTCACATGGCAAGAGACAGGTTAGTGCCCATGTCTGTCTACATCTGTATCCTCTGATATCTCTCTCTTGAATAGCCACTTGTATTTAATCCTGGGGGCTTAAGGGCCCTAATTATCTTTTCTAATCCTAACCAGCTCCCTAAAATTCTACCTCTAAATACTATAGTTGAATTATGTTTTCATCCTCTAAATATCTCACAGTGGAGATTAAATTTCAGCATGTGTACCTTTAGGAGACCCACTCAAACGTTATCCACAACATAGCAGCAATGAAATATTGATACCAGCTGCAACATATATGAACCTTGAAAACACTGAGTGAAAGAAGACAATTGCAAAAACCATAAAAGAGGCTGGAGATGTAGCTCAGTATGAGTGTTTGCCTAACATGCAAGGCCCTAGGTTTGAATTCCAGCATTATAAAAAAAACTGAAAATAAAAATGAACCAAAGACCACAAGAAGCTGGGTATGGTGATGCATATGCGTAGTCTCCTACTTGGGAAGCTGATATAGTAGGATCAGTTGAGCTCACAATTTCAAGGCCAACCTGGGCAATATAGTAATACCCAATCTCAAAACAATATTTATATGAAGTGCCTAGAATCAGTTTGCTATTCCAGATTTATAGAGACTGAAATTAGATTAGTGGTTGCTGAGAAGTAGGTGGAAGTATGGAGAGTGACTACTAATGCATGGAGGTTTCTCTTGGGATGATATAAATTTTCTAAACTTAGATTACACAACTCTGAATATACTAAAGCCATTGAATTGTACACTTTAAATGGGTGGATTTATGGCCTTTATATCTCAATAAAGAGGTTAAAAATGTTTAATCTTGAGTATAAGTATATGCACTATAAAGGAGACATGTTTTTGGTCCTTATTCTTAACTATCATTGTGCCTTAAGCATAGTAGAAAATGTGGAATGAGTGAATTTTAAAAATAAAATATCCTAATTTGAATTTAGCCTCTCTCTCTTGGTTAGTGAAATTCTAAAATGATAGTGCTCAAATATAGAAACCTCTCAGAAAACATTTTAAAGGAATAGAAGCATAGTATATGTATATTTTTGTCAAAAAATGTAAAATACTTCAAAGAGTAAATTACTAAAATGTATATATAAAGTGACATTGTTGAATATGACAAAAATAAGAAATAAAATGAGAAGAAACCACACAGTTGGAGAAGAATTCCTAGCATATAAAACCCCTAATTTATCTTTCCTAAATGAGTGAATATAAGTCTAGAATGAGAATCAATTCTTAGAGGGAAGAGCCAGACTTTCCAGACAAGTATAGAAGAAATAAGTAAAATCCAATTATTTTTCTTTCATTTATGTAACAATTCTTTCTTGTTGGCCACTTACATGAAATGTTTTTTTCCCCTTGTCTGTCTGGCATACTTTGTTAATTTCCCTTAGTCTAAGGGTGTTATGCTTTGATATTTTAGTAGGGTACCTAAGACATACATACATGCACACATACACATTATACAGTGATCAATACATATTATAAGAGAGCACTAAAAGGTTTTATAGGAATTCAGAAGTAGCATTTGAACTGCTTTTAGATATGCAGTGTTAGGAAGGACAAAGGCATTCTTATCAAAAGGAGCAGCTTGGGCTGGGGATGTGGCTCAAGCGGTAGCGCCCACACCTGGCATGCGTGCG